CCCGTCCCGCCACATGGAGACCGCGTGGCCGTGAGCCACCCAAATTTTGCGCGCCCCAAACACAGCTCCACTCAGCCCCCCTTGCCTCCAGCGCTGCTCCCGTGGGCTCAGAGTGGGTCCTGCTCGACGACATGGTTTTCCTGGCTGGGGATGCCCACAGGACCCCAGGGCTGGGCTCAGCATCCCTCAGCACTTGGGGATGCACGAGGAGCATGAGGCCACATCCCCTGGGGTCCCCTGGGGAGCAGTGCCGGGGCAGCCCGTGCTGCCGGCAGGCCCGCTCTAAAAAAGGAGCCCCGGCTGCGCAGCAGCTTCCAAACCCAGAGCTTTATAGTGTGGCCAAGCCCTGGGGGCTTGAAAATCACAGGCTGAATCTCGGTGTTTAGCTATGTTCTGGGTTTGCTTTTCGCTCTCACGCAGTTGGGGGGCTGTGTTCGGGACACCAGGCTGCAGGACTTCACTTGCCATCCTGCCTTCGGTGCAAACCCCCCACCTCGAGCCCCTTGTTTGAAGCCTGAGGTTCTGCCAAGGTCCCCCTGCCCTGCACCAGGCTCCCAAGATGCCACCATCTCCTACCCACCAAACCCCAGCTGGGATTAGGGAGGGCGTGCGCCTTCGCGCAGCCTGGAAAAGCAGCCCTTATGCTTTGGCTGAAGGTTTAACGGGTTAAACAGCTTAACCGAGAGGTTCAGCCTAGAAAGGTGACCACCAGCAGGGAAACTGAGGCCAGCCCACACCGCTGCTGGGGAGCACCCCTCTCCCTTCTCTCCTCACCACCCAGTTTCAATTGCATGGGCATCCCGCTGTTTGACGTACGGGTACCCCTGCAAGTGGATGGGGCAGCTGGGGAAGCATCCCCAAAAGGACGGCAGAGGTTTGGCTGCCTGCTCCGGCAGGGTGGGGAAGAAGGGGAGCCGGGATGGGACTTTCATTAAGAGACGACTCTTTGTACTCATATAAAAATGATGCGCCAACCCCCGGGGCCATCAGATCAAATGCTGAACTGTGGCTCACCCCGGCCCACCGGATCAGGCCGGGAAGAAGAGCTCAGCCCCGCGGGGCCGGGGGG